AGATGGAGCATGTTAAGTAGAGACATGGAAGATGTAAAAAAGACCCATGTAAACTTCCAGGGATAAACAGTACAACGTCTGAAATGAAAAATATACGGAACAAAATTAATAACAGAATAGACAATGCAGATGAAAGGACAAAAACCTGAACATTTGACGACAGAAACTATTCAAAAGTGAAACGTTAGAGAGAAAAAAAGCCTAGAATAAACAAACAACAGAGTATCATTTTGCTGTGGGACAACTTCAAGTGACCTAATATAAATGCAATTTAAGTTCCCAAATGTGTGTGTGGGGGAGATACTTGAAGAAATAATGGCTAAAATTTCTCCAAATTTAATGAAAACTAAAAATCCACAAATTTCTATCTCAACAAATCCTAAGTACAGGAATCATGAGGAGAATTACATAAAATCTCACCATAATCAAATTGCATAAGACTAGTGATAAAAAAATCTTAAAAGCAGACTTATACACACTACCAAATGTAAAATAGCTAGCTAGTGGGAAGCAGCTGCAAAGCACAGGGAGAGCAGCTCGGTGCTTTGTGACCGCCTAGAGGGGTGGGATGGGGGGGGAGGCAGACACAAGAGGGAGGAGATATGGGGATATATGTATATGTATAGCTGATTCACTTTGTTATAAAGCAGAAACTAACACACCATTGTAAAGCAATTATACTCCAATAAAGATTTTTAAAAAAGAGAAAAGCAGTCAGAAAAGACGTCAGTTCTAATGTACAGAGGAATAAAGATTTTAAATGACAGTAAGAATGAATGCAATGCAGAAAACAGTGAAACAAAATCTTTAAACTACTGAAAGAAAAGGACGATTAACCTAGAATTCTATATCTGGCAAAAATGTCTTCCAAAATTTAAAGTCAAAATATACACTTTTCAAGACATGCAAAAGCTGAAAGTATTCATTGCCAGGACACTCATGCACTATAAGAAATGTAAAAGATGGGAGTCCTGCAGACAGAAGGAAAATGATACCAGACAGAAATCTGGATCGACACAAGAGAATAAAGAGCACTGAAAAAATGTGAATAAATATAAATATTTTCTTACATTTAAAATGCCTTTAAAAGACAACTGTCTAAAGCAAAAACAGTAACAATGTATTCTGGAGTTTATAACATGAGTAAGTAAAATGTACGATAACCAAGGTGACGATAAGGGAAATGAAAGTATACCGTTGTAAAGTTCTCACACTATAGGTAAAGTGGCACAATATTACTTGAAGGTAGGGCTTCTCTGGTGGCACAGTGGTTAAGAATCTGCCTGCCAATGCAGGGGACACGGGTTCGAGCCCTGGTCCGGGAAGATCCCACACGTCGCGGAGCAACTAAGCCTGTGCGCCACAACTACTGAGCCCACGTGCCACAACTACTGAAGCCCATGTGCCTAGAGCCCGTGCTCCGCAACAAGAGAAACCACCGTAATGAGAAGCCTGTACACGGCAATGAAGAGTAGCCCCGCTCACTGCAACTAGAGAAAGCCCACATGCAGCAACGAAGACCCAACACAGCCAAAAATATATACATAAAAAATAAATTAAAATCACTTGAAGGTAGACTATGATAAATTAAAGATGTATACTATAAACTCTAAAGCACCTGCTTAAAAAAACATACAGACAGAATAAATAGAAAACAAAGAGCAAACTGATATACTTAAATCCAACCATATCAATAATCATATGAGATGTAAATGATCTAAATATCTCAATTAAAAAACAGAGATTATCAGACTGGATTAAAATACAAGACCCAACTATATGCTGCCTACAATAAATCCATCCCAAATATAAAGATATGACAGGTTAGAAGTAAAAGGCTGTATCATGCTAACACTAGTCAAAGTGAAGCTGGAGTAGCTATATTAACATCAGACAATGTTGATTTCAGAGCAAAGAATATTACCATGGATAAAGAAGATCACTTCATAATGATAAAGGGGCCAATTCATCAAGAGGACATAACAATCCTAAATAACCTAACAGATCTTCAAAAAATATGAAGTAAAAAATGATAGAATTTCAAGAAAAAACAGACAAATACACAATTGTTCCTGCAGATTTCAACACCCTTCTTTCTTGTTGATAGGGCAAGTAGATAAAAAATCAGTAAAGATACAGAAATTTGGAACAACACTAACAGCCAACTTAATCTAATTGACATTTATCCTACATCCTATACAACAGACTATACATTCTTTTCATGTGCACAGAGAAGACTTACCAAGATAAGTCATATTCTGGGCCAAAAATTAAACATCAATAAACTTAAAATAATTCCAGTTATACAAAGTATGTTCCTGGACCACAATGGATTTAAATTAGAAATCAGTAACAGAAAGATATCTGGAAAAATCCCCAAATATTTGGAAACTAAATAACACTCCTAAGATTTAATAAAAAACTCTGCCTGTTTTAAAGAAATGATACATTTCTTTCTCTTAGAATATGACTATTATATAAGCAAAAATTGTTTTTGCCTTCACTGCCAAGAAGCTCAGGGCTAAACAAAAAGTTTAAACACAATAATCATATCTACTCAAATCATTCATTCATTCAACTCAGTTTGAGCATCTAGTATGTGATTTTATAGAATTGAGGGATACAATACAATACAGTCCCTGCTCTGTAGCTCAGTTTTATGGTCAGGTCTAGTGAATAGTATATTTGTAAAGCCCTACTGTTTTCATTTATTGAAAGTCTCTACTTTAACTGCTCTTTTTAAAATGTGTCCTTTCTTTAAAATTGCATTTAATCCTTTCCAGAAACAACTGTTAGCCACACCCAACTAAATAATCATGCAGAAGAATTTTAATATCAGCCTAGGTTAAACATAATTCAAAATGTATGAAATTATGAAAAATTATAATGCACTTGCAAGGCCAAATAGTTAAGTTTTGGGGGGTGATTTATAGCAGTGCTCCCCTCTCCTGGAATAAATAACCTAAAGTTGACTGTCTTTAAATACACCACTGACAACAATCTAAAAGTTTTGACATCGGAGGAACAAACAGATAACTAGATAAAAAGGAAAACAGTGTTGGAGTTGGTGGAGGTGTCCTCTGAATGAAGAGGGAGCTCAGAAGGTACAGAAAGAACAACCCAATGACGAGCTGGTACCACAGAGCTGTACTCAGTGAACTCAGGGGAAGACTGAGGTGGAACCTGGCCTCTACAGTACCTACCCTGGAAACTGTCTGGACTCCAGGGTCCTCCTCTTTAAAATGTGGGCCATGACAGATGATCTCTAAGGTCTCTTTCAGTTCTACAATTCTGTAAACCTAGTTTGGCTGGAATATCAAAGAAAATATCCCAAGAAGGAGCTCTGTGGTAGTGTCTCACCAAAAGCTATTTGAGTTGTTAAAACTAGACTTGCTAATACACGTAACACATTCTAGGCGCTGTATTAAGTGTGGTATGGAAGAGCTGAGTCTCAGTTTTGGTTTAACTTTACTAAAAGGTACAACCAATTGCAATTTAAGTGTTCTGATTCTTAGTTTCCTAGATAAGATAAAAAGATACAGAAATATATACTATGCAAGTATTGGGGAAAGAGACTGAATTCTCACTATGGTTAGCTAAGAAGGAATCTTGGAGGAGATGGACCTTGAAAGGATAGATGGAAGTCAAAGGGATGGGCAATGGTAATAACTTATATAAAAGCTACAGGGTATAGCAGAAGACATGTGCTTTGGAGCTGATGGATTTTGTTTTAAATCTTGGCCTTGGCTCTTCCATCTGTGTGACCTTGGACAATTCAGTTTTCTGAGTCTCAGTGTCCTCAAATCTAAAATAATAGGCTTACTTTATAGTTTCAAGGATTAAAGATAATAGCAATATAGAGTCTAGCACAATATCTGGCATATAGTAGTCATTCAAAAAATAAAAGCTTTCATTATTAAGGGCCCAGAGACAGAAGATAATGGGCATAACAGAAAGCAACATGCAGGTAAAGGAGAGGATGTGGCTATAAAGGTAGGCAGGGGCCTATCTGTAGAGTGCCTAACCAATTTGCAGGGGAGTAAGGAACAAAGCAGGCCTGACCAGTTTGTTAGCTAAGAGCCCAGTTTGGAAGTGGAGTTCTATGGAGTTAATTTGAGGTAATAAAGGTTTCAATCAGAGGTGCAATTCAAGAGACTCCATTAGGGAAATCTGAGATAAAATGATGGGAAAATCAAGCACCAGCAGCCAATGCCAGAGATTAAATCCAAAGTAGCATGGGCAGGACTGGGATCCTGAAGTACGGCAGGGATGGGGTGTGACCATGAACACAATGGAAACAAGTAAGGAGCATCTAAGGTAGTTGCCTAGAAGATCCCTGAGTTACGCGCAGCTTCACTCTATTCGGGCTGCGGTGTTAGGGTATCTCAGGATGCCATAAAGATGTAAAGAAGCGAGGCAGACATCATAGGCTTTATGTTGTACACTATTGGGGCTGGGGGAAGAGGGGTGCTAGAGGGGTGTCAGATCGGGGATTCAACTTCTCAACTCCAGTGGCAGAGTGAAAGGTACAGTGAGGAAATTATTATAAAAGTCCAGGTAGGAGGTATGTGGGCCTGATACAAGGCCAAAGCAATAAGAATAGAAAGAAAGTGACACGTGGACCCATTTCAGGGGAAATTTCTGACAGGATGTGGTGACTTACAGGATGTGGCAGATGAAGGAAAGAAAAGACTGAATAACTACTAAGTTTTTGAACTGTAAGATGAGGACGACAGTGATGCCACTGAGCCGGGAACACAGAAAGAAGTGTAGGTGACGATGATGAATCACAATTCGAGGAGCTTACAACTGAGGATTCGGAGGCACTTGAAAGACGTGAATGTCACAACAGGGCCAGAGCTTCCATCACCCACCACCCACCACCCAGACCTTAAAGCACTTCATTTCTTGACAATACCTGTGACTCAAGCTAAGGGGGCTTGGGGGCGGGGAGAGCATCAAAAATTTCATGAATTTCATAAAACTTATCCAGCACTTACCTTTACAGCCAGTATTTTCCCACTTGGAACATGATATGCTCTACGGAAAGATAAAAAATAATAAAATCACTTGGGATCACTAAACAACCTACCAAGTGGTTAAGGACATAAATGTATATCTGAATACATCCTCAGCAAGGGGATATATGACACTTTCAAAGAACACTAATAACAGCAGTAATTTACATTTTCTATTGAGCTTAATGGTTTACACAGTGATTCACTATGTAGTACCTTAAAATAACCCTCTGAGGTAATGCTGGTATAATTATACACTTTTTAGAGCCCAGAACCCTGAAGCATAGAGAAGTTAAGCAGTTTACCCAATGGCACGAGTCAGTAAGAGGCAGAACTAGACATTAAACCCAAGTCTTCTGGCTTCAGATCCCTTACAACATACTGTCACTGTGTGTGTGTGTCTGTGTGTCTTCTACAGCTCTCTGCTAAGCATGGTACAGAGCCACATAAAATGGGAGGTTTCCCTTTTATCTCAGTTATATATACAGATAAACTACATCCCTACATTTCATCAAAATAATCTCAAAACACATGGCTTAAGATATAAATTCATGTACAAAGTCACAGAGTTACAAGGCTCAAGTATGAGGTTCATCTTTTCCTAAAGCTGGCATTTCTCAATATTTTTTTAAAAAGCTACAGAACAGAGGCAAGCTCAAATGATCAGATACAGTGAAATAATTACAATTTAAATCAAACAATATGAATACATTCATTTATGAAAAACAGTAAGAGAATGTTTGCAGAAATAAAATACCATTACATCTCATCAAGACCTTTTGTATTGAAATGAAATGTGTATGCACGCACTGGAAGGAATGCACATTCTGACCAACTATTCAAAAACAATTTGCTTTATATAAAAATTTCAAAACAAACCAAATAACATAAACAAGCACTGTTATTACAAGTCCATATAGGTATAAAGAAACAAATTAGTTTGGAAGAACTAAAATCTTGCTCCAGAGAAGATTTTACATATTAGCCAAGATCCAATTGATCTTCCCCTCACCCAGTTAGTGTTAAGATGTAAGTGGGGTAAGGAAGATGTGAGGGAATGGAATTTAGCTTCTCAGGAATTCCCCATCCTTACATACCAAGTTGCTAAATAAATTTACCAGGCTCCCAATTTTTACTGGGTAATGACCTAGTAGTAAACATTGTTCATTCCTTTTATTTTTTAATTGAGATATAATTGACATGTAATATTATATTAGTTTCAGGTGTACAACATAATGATTCAATATTTGAATATACTATGAAATGATCACCACAGTAAGTCTAGTTAACACCCATCACCACACAGTTACAAAAATTGCTTATTTCATAAAACAAAAACAAAACATATATTTTACTATTATCAAAATGAAAACATCATTTTCTGTTGTTTTGGCATAAATATTCATTTTTAACACCTTTATTGAGGTATAATTATATATGGTAAAATTCACTTGTTTTAAGTGTACAATTCAAGATTTTTAGAAAATTTACAGAGTTGTGCAATCACTGACAAGTGTTTTTAAAGTGACTGACTTAAAGAAATCGTTCAGTTATTAAGAACCTACAAGTATTTGTAACTTTTCACATATAAAATGTTATAAAATCAGGCATGACTAAGAAAAAACATATATATCAACATTAATGTATATATCCATACATAAGACTGTTACAAAAAATTCATTCTGTTTCTCCTACTTGAGTGGACAAACGTTAAGCCAATTATGGAAGGTACACTTAGCCTTTATTTTATCAATTAATTGTAGAGAAATTCACATATATCTCATTTAAAGGAAAGGTAAGCGTATAAAAATCAGCAATTGTTCACTTTACCAAAGAGTATTTTAATCTGTATAAGTGTCTAAAGACTTTCTCTAAACACCAACCTCCCTAGTATATATAAATACTATTAAATTATAAAACTTAAATTATTAAAACATTTTTGTACTTTGTATAAAGTGATACACATTTTTAAAGTGGAACCCTTATATTATACTGGTTTTATAACAAATTACCAGTTACTTTACTACCTATGATAACATCAGACTTTTAAAATGTGAAACTACATGTCATGATTTGATTCATGATATATCTGAACTCATGTAATAAATTAATATATAAAAACTTACACTGTGTTTCTTCTCAGTGCAAGACAGAGAAGTTTGTTGGACTAAGCCAATTTGAAGTATGACTTGAAGGAATTTAGTAACTTTATTCCAGGTAATATAATATGTAACATTTAATAATGACATATTATTTTTCCTCTTGAATTATCATGGTCTCTTCCAATTTCAACATTATAAAATACTAGATATTAGGGCTCCCCTGGTGGTACAGTGGTTGAGAGTCTGCCTGCCGATGCAGGGGACACGGGTTCGTGCCCCGATCCGGGAGGATCCCACATGCCGCGGAGCGGCTGGACCCGTGAGCCATGGCCACTGAGCCTGCACGTTGGAGCCTGTGCTCCGCAACGGGAGAGGCCACAACGAGAGGCCCGCGTACCACAAAAAAAATAAAAAAATAAATAAAATAAAATACTAGATATTAGAATCACTAACTGAAGGCTGAAATGTAAAGATAAATAGTTGAATGCACACACAAGGATTCAAAAGTTGTAAAAAGAACAGTGATGTTACACTGGACAATGAGTACACCTGGATGTTTTAGACCAACAGGAGCGATAGGGAAATGATTAGCAAATAATCCAGTATATATACCATACTGGACAGTTTGGCAACTTAATTAGCTTGTCAAGAAAGCCGATCTCTTTTCCAAAAGAAGGGTCTCCTATTTCCACGTGAATTAAAAGCGGAGGCTTGATGATTTAATTATGATGCATGCTAATTCATCCGTGGAAGTTTGGGTTCGATTTCGAGCAATAAAGGTGCTGTGTGGTTTGGTTTACAGTGCAATGAGAGTACCAATTTAACACTTAATCATCAATGAGAAGTGGATGACAAAAGCAGTGCCAGGTATGAGTCCAGTGTGTCCCTTAACTTTGCAAATGGCATTCTACCCAGAGAAAAGGAATTTGTTTATTTTCAGTGGATACTGCATCTCAATTGCCTTGACCTCAATTGTCTTGATCTTTCTCAACACTGTAAAGTGATTAATGAAGTTTGAATGGAGGCTCTGGTTACACCAAAAGACAACTATACACCTCTGCATTATTTTAATTAACCGCTAACACTTCAAATTAGTTTGTTGCCACAGTAATTACCTGTTCCAGTGAGTGCATGGAGGGAGTATTTTTATAAGTTATTTTTAGCGCTGAGTCCTTGAGCGTTCCATTTTGTTTGTGACCAGCACAGGGCTTCTGGGAATAGTCCCAGCCCTTAAAATTGAGCACACAATATATATACACTTTAGGATTGTAAAAGCTAAGTAGCCTGGTATAAACTTTTTGAGTTTTTAAAATAAAAAGGAGACCAGTAAAAGAGAACATCTATACTTTCCACACTTCCTTACTTTCTACTTGGAACCACAGGTTCTATGTGATTGGACAAAAAAGTTGGTACCAACCTTTAATTTTGGTAGAGTACAAATTCAGATAATATATTGAGCAAATAGGTAATATAAAGAACTGTCTTATCTAATTCCTTCCTTTTGCAGTAGAAACATCTAAAAGCCAGGTTAAAAAACTTGTCCAAGCTTACACAGTTAGTCAATGGCAACGACAAGACTGGAACTGAGGCAGAACATATATATGCTAGGACCTAAAAAAGTATGTGGTAATGTTTAAGTGTTCTTAACTGCATTCTAGAACAGGGGAACTCATAATTCAAAACTTACAAAGGTGTTGACCTATTTCAATCAGGCTAAGACCATCACACTGAATCTTTCCAAGCAAGGAATCTTCTGCAATCACTGCCAATCTACCAGGGGAGGCAGAAGAGTGAGGTTTGTAACCTCTAAGTCACTGCCTGGGTTCTGATGCTAGCTCTGACACTTCTTCATGTGAACCTGGCCTGTTATTAAACCTCACCTTGTCTCAAGTGCCTCAAGTCTGAAAAGGGGAAATCAGTCCCTACGTTATAAACTTGTGAGGTTCAGTGAGATAAGGAAAGCACATAGGACAGGGCCTGGCACGCAGTAAGCGGGCATTACATGTTAGCTAGAAAGTTTTCAGGGTAGCTGGGTTTTTAAAAACCCACTAAAACAGGCTGAAAGGCAAGAGTTATCTCTGTGCTTTAAGACTCAGGCTATGTGCTCTACAAAGGAAGGCTAATAAAACTTTAACAATGAAGACTGGCAAAAAGCTGCAATATAGCACTTACTGTTAAGAAAAGCAAGTAGTGTTACATCATGGTGAACCAACTTTGAAAACAAAGAATTAGTCATCTGAAATGCTATGGCTATACCATGATTCAAATTCTAAAATTTCTTACCATGCTTATCTCTTGACCACTAGTTAACTTAATTACACTCAGGTGTGGTAAGTGCCACATTCCAGGTATGCATCTTAGCAGAAACACCATTGGACAGTAACTGTTGCTAAATGAGAAGCCTAATTTTTTATTCTCCTTGGATTAATAGGAAAATATAAGCTACCTTAAAACATCCACACAACTTCCTTTAATATACACCCTCATAGACTATAACATTTTGAGGCCTCTCCTAGCCTTCAGACTTTAGTATCTCTGTTATAACCCCCAGCACACTGCAGAAAAATTGTTTATATGTCTGTCTTCCATACTGGGCGGGGACACTACCATGTCTTAATCACCTTTGCATTCTTTATGCTTTGCACAAGTCCTGGCCCATGATATAGGTACTCCAAACTTAATAGATGTTTGATAAATGATTATTACTTCTGGATGAAAAAAGTTTATGTAATTCTTGAATAAAGCAGAAATGTATTTAATTAATGCATTTAATTAATTGAATGCATGTAGACATTCTACATGCATTCAATTAATTAATTCCATAACCTTATGAGTAGGAGCAGGAGGTATTCTTCCCTAGCTTTACTGTGATATAATTGACATACAACATGAGTAGAAGTTATTATCCTCCCCATTTTAT